GCCTCATCAATTTGTAATTTGTAGGTGCAATGGACCATCTTTGGTCTGGCATTTCCATGAGCTCCACATTTCTTATTCACTAAATTTTGTTTTCAATTTTCCTACTAGAATGTTCTATTTTTTGTTTATTAGTAGGTGATAACGTCCTCAGATCATATATTGATAACTACGATATATTGGTAGGTAATAATGTCGTGTTTAAACTATTTTGAGAACTCAATAGTTTTTAAACAAATTTAATGAATACCCGTGTTAAAAATACAATGGATTTTTCCAATTGACTTGTGGTTTTTATGTTGAACTTTTGATTTCGTTACTTATTATCCTATAACATAATAAAGTTGATTTACCCCGTTGCTTTATGATCCCTTGGCACTCAAGGCCACGAAAACTGTTTTTAACTATAGTTTGTTGTGTGGTTCCGATAATAATGTCAATACTTACGGCTATTGATTAGCCCAATAGTGGTCAAACAAATTTAAAAAACCCACAAAAAATATTTAAGATTTCCGATCTGATTCTTTGAGTATAAGCTAGGAATGATTTATGATTAGTGAAAAACCCTAAAGTTGGACGTGTGTAGGGTCGGTTATCCATAATTTCCTTTACTAACTTCTAAAACGTCTATGGAGCTGATAACCCAGTTTTTGTCAAAATTATTTGTTAAGAATAATAATTAAAAAAATAAAAAAACTATAGATGCAATACAAGACTATAACAAGATCAGCGCAAAGGAAGACAATGTCATCCACCAATGCCTCCCTTTTATCTTTTGCAAATATGGCCTCACAAATTTAACATGTGAGGTGTCTCCATTCACACCTAATTTTCCTTCATACTTGATCTCTTTTTTGGTCTTGTCTTCTTTCATTGTCATCTTGATTTTTTTTCCCATGTCTTTCCAACTCATTCTTCCCAAATTTTGAAGAAAAACAAAATTACTGTTTGAGAGACGGGGTTCGTTATCTTTCTTGCTTTATCGAGATAATGTTATCCTCCAGATGAGTGACGAGATTGATTACAAACTCTCTTACGACTTTATGGCTATTTTTTTTCCTTCTGTTTTGCAAACCCGAATACCAAATTGGAGTCTCTATCAAACATTATAATCAATTGAGTTTGAAAATTAGAGCTCTCGTTAAACCCTATAATTTTGCTTTTAAATGTGTAAAAGGGAGCTCAAACTCCAAACCTTACAAGAATAAACCACATATATGATGACGATTAGAACAACTATTACACGTAATCTTATCGAATAGTTTTAATCATTAGATTAATAACATATAGTTGATAAATGAAGAAAAAACAAGATTCTAAATTATTTATGTCGGCGATGATGTTATCAACAAGTAATCATATAAGATATTACCATTATAAGAAAGTCAGATAAGGACAAATTCGATATATTATTATTATAATAATAATAACCCTCATGGGTTAGTTATTTAATAAACCCTTAAGCATAAGATTAATATTAAATTAGGTAATAAATTTCACCTATTATTTTAATGTTATGGACTCATGGGTTAGTTAAAGGATACTTTAAAATAAAATAAATGGTCAAAAAGCTTTAAAAAATTATTTTTTTTAACCCCATTACTAATTTTATTAATCTTCACCTCCTCACCTTGACCCTACTAATATAATTAAAATTTAATTAATTTATAAATTTGGACGGTTTTGGTCCATAAAAGGAGCATCTGGTTTATGATTAGCCATGTGTACGGTACATATTTTTGGGCACGAATTTTGTAGCCAATGATAATAGTATTAATTATTCACAAAACATTATATAATATATAGTTTTTTATTATATGATATAGTTATGTGTAGTGGACATTCTTTTTAATGATATTTTAAATTAGACTATGATTTTGCCGTCAACTATATATTTTATTAAATTGTTGTTGGGTTTATCAAGGAGTTATTAATTTAATTTATTTAATTAAGAAACTTATCTCTTGATTGTGATATAATTATTAAATTAGATTAGAAAATCAAACTTCTATTTAGTTTAATTATTATTAAAATTAAACAAATCCTACATAATTGGAGGTGTTATTATGTATATAATATGGTTTAATGTTGTATGCAATCTCAAATTATTTGGATTAAGAAATTTAATAACACGTGCTGGTTTAATGTTTATGTTTTAAATTGTTGGAGAAGCATGCGTGCGCTGCCACATAGGCGCAGGATCATGCTCTGATACCANATGCCTAATGTGTTGTTTGATTCATTTTTGCAAGTTTTTATGCTGGAAGCAGTAGATTACTAGTACTTTTATTAGGTCCAGTCAGTGCGGCTGTTTAGATGCTCTGTACAGTGATTAATTATATAAAGGAATATTATCAATGGCAATATAAGGAAAACTCAGCTTTAGAGTTTAGTAATCCGTTGTATTTGGTGAAATGCTATGAGTTTTTGGAGTTTAAGCGTTGGTGGGGTTTGAGTTTTGAACTTGACATGACTGAGGAGTTTGGGGTATATCTGGGTTATCAAAAGGAGGGAAAAAAGTTAAAACAGTTGTTTAGCTTTGTTTATGATGAAGATTGTATCTTGGGCTGTTTTTTCTGATCGATACTAATTGATATCTCAGGTTAGTTTGATGTGTGTGGACTGTGGAGTGTAGCTTGCTGGCGCTTTTTTTTGGATGCTTTTTGAGTGAGTTGGTGGCAGTTTGATGGCATCCTCGGCAATAAAATCTGGGGCATTGGTTACTTTACCAGAGTTAAACCCATCTTCTCAATTCTTTGAGGAAGGAGCTTCGCTAAGAGTTACTGGGAAGTAAGACTTCTCCCCTTCAAAGATTAGTACCCCTCTATTATAAATATATCTGTTATTTTTACCTGTGCATCTTTTGTTTCATGATTACGTTTTGAATAACACTAGCAGTACTGATTAGGTTCCTCCTAACACCAAGGGTTGGACTTTGTGGTAAAACTGATAAGTCAAGGGTGCAAATCCCCCTGAATGTGTCTGATTGGGATGTTTATAGCATACAGATTTCTAACTATTAAGGTTGTTGAGTCTGTTTGAAACCCAGATAAGAACTTGGTGGACACGTAGGAAAGGTTGAGGGATTTCTATGTATCAGGAAAAAAAATGATTATGAGCCTCTTGTAGTTCTAGATTTCTCTTTAGGATTCCTGAGTTGTTGTGATTTTAGAGTTCTATTAGTATTTTTACAATATTTTTCTGTTTTTGGATTTTGAGTTGTGGTAATGTAATTGAGCTAAAAATGCAAGTGTGCACTGGACCAGTTGATGATGGAGCAAGTGTAGTGTGGTCATGTTTTGGGGGATGAAATGAGGTGTGAGTAAGGGTGGAGATGAGTTGGTGGTATCAGTCTGGTGATAAATAACAGCAATAGTGTAGTAGGGTTGATTGTTTAAAGACGGGCATACAAGGGCCTTCTGNTTCTTCAAATCATAGAGAGAGCCCATAGAGTGGAGGAACGCAACTGGGCTTTAGAGGAGGCAAAGCATGGCCCAGCAAAAACTAATAGATGGAATGGACCTGGTATTCATGTTGGGTCAAATAACTTTGGACCCAGAAATTTTAACCCAACCTTTAACCCAATTTCAACCCGACCCGATTCACTCAAATCCCCAAATTCAAATGAATCCCTAAAATCAAATACATTTCCCCATTCAGTCTCCAACGTGGGACGACGAAACACAGAGAATAATGCCATGGGTTCATCGTTTCATCCTTCTTCTCGTGAACACTCATCTACCACTTTCAGGTCCTTCGATAGAAGTCAGCCACCACGACGCGATTTACCGTTTCGAAAGATGACAGAGGCAGAAATCCAACGAAAGAGGGAAAAAGGTTTATGTTTCAAGTGTGATGGGAAGTACTTCTTTGGTCATAAGTGTGGTGACAAGCAATTTCAAGTAATTTTAGTTGACGAAGAAGAAGAAGATCTAGATCCAGGTGACGTGGAAATCAGTGAAGCAACGATGGAAGAACAAGGCCAAGGTAACGTTGAACTTTCTTTGAGTTCGGTTGTTGGAATCAAAATTATTTAAGAATAAGAATATTTTCATTTTAATAGATAAATCAATAGAAATAAAAAAGAAAAAAATAAATAATATATATATATATATAAACAAAAAGGGGAAATTCATTTTCATCCCTGAAGTTTTATGGAAGTAATTTTTATCCAAGCAATTATAGAAACCAACACTGTAATCACAATCAATCATCCATCTCTAAAGGAAGTTTGTTTCAGTTATTATTTAAGTTATGAAATTTTCCTTTTTTAAGATATGGTAATTGACCACCCATTGGTACAAGTCGAACCTAAGACTGGGGGGCGTTTTCAACCATGTGCCCTCTATCCATTCAGCCACAAGTGGACGGATAAGATATGAAATTTTCATAATAGCCATATTTGTCTCCTTAGAGAATAAGTTAAATAATGAGGTTATCGTTATCGTTTTTGTTATCTTTTTCACTATTTTTATTCTCTATTATTTCTTGTAGAATATGTAATATTTATTCATTTATAAGTTTGATTTCTTAAAAAAAAAAAATGGAAAATATAAAACATTGAAAAGTTGTTTTCTATATTTTCAATCACGGTAGGTAGAGAATACCTAGGGGTGCGAGACAACTCAATGGAATGCATCTATTTATCTATCTCTTGACTCGAAATGGGAATAAGTTTCAAAAAAGATCTTAGAGTTTCTAGGGTTGGGTCGGGAGGGTGAAAAATTTTTTTAATGAAAAAAAAGGTAGCATCGGGTGAATAGTTAGCCAGTGTGTTTCATCTTACGAGAACCCTTTGGTTGTCACAATATTTTATATTTATCGTAAAAAAATAATAATAAACTTGTTTTCATTTTTAGACACTACTTTTAGAAAATGATAATTTAAAAATACAAAATCAAACTTCTTATTTTTCATCTCTGAATTTTTTAGGGCAATGGTTAACAGATAAGGATTCCGGTGTTAGTCTAGAATATTTTGGATGAGAAAGTTATTTTTATAAAACATTAGGGGTTAATTTGTGATTTAGCTGAAGAACTCAAGAAATAACTAACCATAATATACATAATTAGGAACTAGGAAGTAAGAAGAAGTACACGGAGACGCAAAAGTAGAGAGTAGAATGGCTGAAGTGAAAAGCACTTCTAGTTAAAAGCACTTATAATACAGTAATACACAGAAGCAGAAGCAGAAGCAGAAGCACAGGCAGAAGTTACAAACACTGCTTTGAGCTTTGTGTATATTTTGTATTGTATGTACAACAAAACATTATTGTCTTTGTTTTCTTCTCCACACATAAAAAGAGAGAAACAGAACCCAACAAAACTTCTTTTAATTATGGATTATAATCTATCTCAAGATCTTCTTCTCTCTAGAAATCTCAGCTCCATATTTCCTCACTTCTTCTGCGTCAGTTTCCGGCAGCTGACGTCTGCTTCACGCCTCCTGCGTCACACTCCGGCTTTCTGATCTGGGTTCTTCTTTTCAAGGTCTTGCTTGCAACTGATAAAAAGCTTCTTTTTTGAGTTTGTTTTGGTTAAAGGGTGTTGTTTGGTTGCTGAGAAAGTTACGGGAAAGTTAAGACACGAAATGAAAGTTTGTTTCTTTCTTTATCTGAGAAAGTGAGTTTTTTTTAGCTTGTGTCAAACTTTCCTTCTGGTTTGTTTGGCATCCAGAAAGTTATCAAAAGGCAGAACAAAATGAAAAATTGACCTTCACGCATTACCATTTTCATATACTTCTCTGGTTTTTGAAAATTGATATTGATTTAAGAGTTTTAGAATTCTACGCAGCTTAGATTTACTCAAGGTTGTCTTTTTTCTTTTTTAAAAAATATTTGTTTTCCTTCATTTTTCTCAGCAAACTAACAAAAGGGCCAGCTTCAGTTTGGTTGTTGAGTCAATGGAAGGAAGATAAGAGAAGAAAAATATCAATGCTATGTTAACCAAACAGAGCATTTCCCAAACAGCCCTGTTTAAGTTAAATGAATGTAGAGTGATTTATTTTAATTTTTTTTTTTTTGTTTACTTCTGCCTAATTCTAATGATGAGTTGTTGGAATTCCATGTCAGATTGAATATTCTCTGTAATTCTATCAGATTCTAAGCCATTGTTTTTTACTTTATTAATTGTGTTCCACATTCACTGTTTTTTGTTCTTTTACCCTATAAACTGTTAGATTCTTAGCTTTCGAGTCAGATCATCATGTCTTTTACTTCAGTTACAGTGCAGTTCCATTCATTAGCTCCAAGTATCCGTTTGTTTATCAGGAAATACTTGAGAGAAAAAAAAAAAAAAAGAATGTACAATCTTCTTTCTCAGAGTCTCTAAGCAGTTTCTTTAAGGAAAATTTCCAGTCTTTGTATTCATTTTTTTTCGTTAAAAAAAGAGAAAAATTCTGGGAGCTGTGATGGAAGAAGCTGCAGAAGCATGGCGAAGAAGCCAGAAGAAAGATGACTTAATTTTAAGGTCTTCTGGGTTTGTAAATGTTGATGGTTCTAACAATTTTGCCTCAGTTTTTTCCAAGAGAGGCCAGAAGGGTGTTAACCAAGATTGTGCTATTGTCTGGGAGGTATGCATATATCATTTACTCTTAATTTAGTTTTGTATTTCTTTTCCTGTGTTTTCTTAGTAACTACTAAACAAGTTATTGTTAAACTCGAGCAGTAATGTTAATGTTTTTACCTATCAGTTTAAGTTTTTGGTTCCAGTTTTCTTCTTTTCTTTAATAAGAATATTTCCTACTGCTGCATTGACTGGGATCAAAATGTGGTTCTTGGTTGTGGTTTTGATGGACAAATGTGCATTTGTTTTGTTTTGTTACGGAGCAGGAATTTGGATGTCAAGAAGACATGATCTTTTGTGGGATTTTTTATGGACACGGTCCATGGGGTCATTTGGAATGTGTCATTATCCAGTGCACCGCCCCACATGTGATTGTTGGGGGGTACGTGTCAGCTGCGTATTGGTTTAAATTGCGACTGTGTAGTGGTTCCTGCTTGGTGACCAGTGGTCCTCGCTTTGCACCGACTTCATTATATGGTTTTATGGCATGTAGTTTTGAGTGGTTAAGTAAATCACATGTATTTATTAAAATTCGTAATATCTGTATAATATTATCTAATATTATTAATGATACTGTAAATACGTTTTACTCTCTTTTATTGTCTTGAATAATTTACTCATACTCGTTAATTATGTTCTACCCGAATAATAAATAAATAATACGTAATTGTATTTTATTTTATCATAGAAATTAGAAGGAATAATATGAAACTTACGTTTAATCACTTAGAAATTCCGAAGCTACGATAGAGTCATATAAAGATATGTATTACTTCCTTCGTTTTTTTTTTTTTTTTCAATTGTTGTTTTAGGTGTGGGCACAGGTTTTAATTAAAAAAAAAAATTCTCTCCTACTAACTTTTTTCTCTGATTTTGCAAGTAAGAAAAAAAACATCACAAATTTCTAAACTCAAATATACTACGTAACCGCTACAAACGCCAATTTTCTCCTTTTTCTCCCATGGACATCACTCAACCAGACCGGTCCACTCTCCCCGCACTTCTCCACAACGCCTTCGCTAAACGCCTTGCCACACATATAGACATTCTCTCTTTTCGCGCCGTCTGTAACTCATTCAAGGACTTTCCTTTCCCATCATCTGTATGGTCACTCTCCTCTCAACTCCCTCAAGAAACTTCAGCTTTTGTTAACACCCGTGTGGACTGGAAGGAAACCCCAGAAGCTCACGAGTTCAAGGCTGATCTTCCAGGGCTCAAGAAAGAGGAAGTGAAGGTGGAGATTGAAGACGACAGGGTGCTTCAAATAAGTGGAGAAAGGAACATAGAGAAGGAAGACAAGAAAAAGAGAGAAAAGATGGAAGCAGAGACATTAGAGAAAGAAGAAGTGGCGATGGAAAATAAGGAAGAGAGGAGAAGAAGGGAAGAGATACGATAAGATAAAAGATTAAAGAGAGACCGAGGCAAAAAGTAGAAATGATAAGATGAAATGGAAAGAGAGAGGGCATGATAAAAAGTGGAGAAGGCGTGATGAAAGATTGAAAGGTGTAGAAAAGACAAGGCAGAACGACTTTAATTTTAAAAATTTTAAAAACTCTTAAAACAACAATTAAAAAAAAACCAGAGGGAGTATAAGTTTTACATGTTAGGTTTATAAGTTTCACATTATAAGTTTTGCAGTTTACACTTAAGAATGAGTTGTACTTACCTCCAGCATTATAGGATGTGGACAATTTTACCATTTAATATAATTTCTCTTTGCCAACTGAGGCAATTGCTAATTAGGATAATATATAATTTAATTTTCTATAAATTTAGTATTAGTTTAATTGATATTTCAAAGTTCAACTTTTGTCTTAAATAATGTATTTTTTTTTTTTGAATAATCTATATATTGCATTTATAATTGATTTAATTAAAGTTGATTTTTAATGTCTATAAACAAGTTGTTAACTTAATCTCTTACAATTCTAAAATTACTTTCCACAAATGCATGATTTCTTTTCAAACAAAATTTTCATGAAACTTTTTAAATCCCATTAAAATAATATTGTCATAAATTTTACGATGATATATATATATATATATATATATTTTTTTTTTTTTTTATTTATCCTTCTTTCTCTTTGGAATTAATTATCAGTAGTGATTATTTTATCATCTTGATTGCACAAGTTTTAAATGAAAGTACAAGGAAAATTTGAAATTTATTCAAGGAACATTTGAAATTGATACAACATTACTTAACGCTACATATTCAANGGTGGGGACTAATCTGTGAAACGTGGAAACCAACATGGACTGGAGTAATTACGCGGAATCTGCTAGGCCTGAATGGGAAGTTGTCTTCTGTTTGATAAACCTTGTCATGTTAGAATACGGCCCGCTAGACTGGCATATCTATATCAAGTTGTTTGTTGTTGCACATGTTTCTGATTCTGCATTATTCTTTTAGTAGGTTTGGTATTGATGACACAAATATCTGAAGATCCATATCTTCTGGCTTTGGTTCTGATTCTCTTAAGTGTTTAGAAGACAAACCTTTGATCCAAGAATCTAGTAGATAAGATTTGGTAATTGTAAGTAGGATTTTCTCATCTAGGGTCAACAATTAGAGACATTTCCGAAGGAGTTTGAAAGAGCCTTAATTCAGCATATTCCTACTAAACACTCTCTTAATCACTTGAATAAATTATCCCCCTAGACTCAAACATAACCATAAGAAAATGCTTCCAAAATTAAGCTTGAAACTAGCCAATTAGGATTAGAAACCCTAGACTTCTCATGAAACTTGATTACTTACTAGCTTCTAGGGTGGGTCTTGAAAGTCAACAAGTCAACACCTACCTATAAGAAAAGAAAAAGAGACTTGTCAATGGAATGTGTGGAAATTAATGTGTCATTATCCAGTGTAAATCCCCACATGTGTAATTTAACCAAACCAACCTTGTCAGGAGAATCACTTTCGCTTAGTCTTTCTATTGCATCTTCGAATAAGTCCATCAATCATCCGTAAAAACCATCGTGGTTTTCCTGTTGAGAAAACTATATATCCTATCGTGAAGCCGAGTGATAGTCCGCTTCCGTAACCCATCATAATGACTTTCCAATCTAACCAGGTTGGAATATTGTGTTCTTCATCATGATCGATTGATGATTCTGGTTGTGGTGTCTCATCAATATCACATTTGTTTGACAACATAAATCCACAAAGGCCCAAGTTTCCACTGTACGAGTCATTTTGGAAGGTCTCGAACTGCTTCCCTTGAGGAATCGGTCCCTTAAGATGATTTTGTGATAAGTTTAACTTTGCAAGAAAGGTTAAACCTACCAATTCCGATGGAATCTCTCCAACAAGCTTGTTTGAAGATAGGTCTAAAGCTTCAAGTGCAATCATATTTCCTAAAGACAAAGGAATATGACCGGTTAGGCTATTTTGAGAGAGATTGAGGAGTCGAAGTGAATGAAGTTTTCCAATTGAGTTTGGTATTTCTCCGTGAAAGGAATTGTTTGATAAATCAATGGCAGTGAAAGTAGTAACAATTTTCTCCAGTCGGATTTCAAAACCTTTAACTACGATCGCAACTGAATTTTGATATACGATCGCCGCTAAATCTTGATCATATGTTTCACCCATATAATTCAACTTCCTTTTGGCTTCATCAAGATTCACCATAGCTTTTAGATTCTCGAACAACCTTGTTGGCAAACGACCACTGAAATTGTTGTGTGAGAGATCTAAGATTCTCAGCATAGGGAAAGAACCATTAAATTTAGAAGAACCCCGCTCAAAACCGTAAAAGTTGTTGAAGCGAAGAACAAGAACCTGCAACTTCGGAAGATCTCCCAACCAATATGGGAAACTATCAGTTATCTTGTTGTTTCCGAGATCTAGAACCTCAAGCATGATACAATTAACCAAACTTCGTGGGATTGACCCTTCAAGTCCATTGCCGTTGAAGTTAAGA